TAAAAGTAATTTTCTATGGTGAAAATTTAATTTTCTGCCAACAGTAAACATCTTATAGAGTGAGAGAAGTAACTAAGAAACGGAAGCAATCGATTCGTGACTCGCCAAGAATTCCATTCTAATGACGCTCTCTGAAGAAAAAGACAAAACACACCTAATATTAAGATGAAATAAATTCTAATTAAAGATTTTGGTTCATCATTATGTATTTTTATAAGTATTTAAATGATATTCTACCAGACAAGGAATGAAGATATTAAAATATACATTCCAAATTAAAGAAATTATATTTCTTTAACAAACACATAATTTAGCGAAAATAACTTCAAGGGCGTAAGAGAAGCCGATGTCTTCTCACCATACTTCTTTCTCCACTACAGCGAGGCAATCCTGAGATAATTAAAATTCCTACCAGGATTTATTACCGACGGATGAAACCTTAACAACATAGGATATGCAGATGATATGATGTTGATAGCGGACACATAGAGGAAACTGTAAGAAATCATAGAGAAAGTAGTAAAAAGGACAAGAAAGGACACTATTTGGGGTAGACTGTTCTAGTTCCACGTGCCATGTCTGATGGATGTCAGTTATCAGTTATCTCCTGTTAATTCCCCTATCCAAGTTCTTCACTGCCTTAACCGGGTATTGAACTCACGCTCCTCAAGGACACATGGCACAGTGGATAAAGACGTTAGTTAGATCCAGTGACAGGACCCAAAGTGCATTAGTTCAATACCTGGTTAAGGCGGTGAAGAACTTGGAGAGGGGAATTAACAGGAGATAACTGATAACTGACATCTATCAGACATGGCACGTGGATCTAGAACAGTCTACTCCAGTGAGCGAAATAAAGGATTCAGTTCGATATTCCAAACACCTGAAGAAGTCTGGAGCGTACAACGGCTGAAATGTTGTAATAAATATGGCGACAGAGATGAGGACAGCAGTCCGAATAATGTAAATAGTGTACATAATACCTCATCTCAGAAATACAGACAGACAAGAAAACATAAATAGTAAAAAGGCAGAATGTATGCCACAGGAGCAGCCCGAGTTAAGAACTACCAAACAAAAATTTCAATATCTGGTAAATGTTTTAACAAAGAACGGTAAATACGACACAGAAAACCGAAGACGAAAAGTAATAGCGAAAGATGGTTTCAAAAAGCTAAGTAAACAGTGCAGACCTGTTATGGCAGTGAATGCTGAACAATATTTTCACAGATGAACAAGAGTCTTGAGGCAACAGAAATCTGGTTCTACAGAAGGATGCCGAGAATGCCATGAACGGGACATGTAAGTAACAATGACGTTTGAAGAAAAATAGAAACAAAAACGGCAATTATACTTCGAATTAGAAAGAGAAAAGGGAATTTCTAGTGGACATAATGAGGAAAGGGAGCTTGGAGAATTTAACATTCACAGGGTTTGGGGATAACGAAAAGACAAACTGTAATACAAAGGATAAGAAGTTGTGTAGAGCTACGATCCCCCACATCTTGAAGATTCTTATCCCAATATTTTTTTTTTGTGAAAAATCATTGGTATGTGTCGGGGATCATTCGGTGTTAACCCTGACTGTCCAAGTTTAATGTTAGCATTAAAAGAAAACAGTATCTTACATTTCCGACATGTTGACGCTTGTTTTCGTTAACCAATGTCTGATGAGATTAGCACAGAATTATAAGGTCCATTTACAGAGAACAGAAACGTTTCGTCCAATCCCAAATATTTAACGATGCTTTCTGTCATTTTTATGATAATAGACGTTCCTCGGTGTTACAGAAACGAGACCTCATGGCACTAAATATGCATATCATTCTTAAATAATAAGTCAAAAGGCTTTTATTGCTCTTCGGACGCACATCTCCAAAGCTTGGATGCCTTTAAGGAAGGAACAGGTCTTAAACTATCCGTAGAAATATATATTGATGTTTCATGAACATTCTATAGGGTAAATGTACGAATGACCGTTTAACGTTTCCAGTTTCTATGTTAAGTTTAGAGTTGATAATAAATATTCAATATCAGATGCCGGCTTCATGAATAAAATTGACACCTGCTCAAAAGCTTGGTGTTGTAACTCAGATAAAGCCAGGTTTTCAAATGCTTATTTTACGAGTAAGCAAGGAATTTCAAAATAATTCCCAAAATGGAGATTGAAATATCGTCATTTTCTCAATTCTACCGATTTGATCTCCTGATGTTTCGCAAAAATATATATATATATATATATATATATATATATATATATATATATATATATAATGTATCGGTTTAGATCAGATTAGAATTTAAATGTTAAGTTCTTGATCTTGGCGAAAAGGCGCGTACTTGGAAAATCCAAAGTTGCATATTTACTATAAACGCTAGCCATGTTAAAATTTTATTTCCTCTTTTTTTTATTCAGTGCCCAGCGGTGTCAAGATAGAATAATAGAAATTGTTCACTTCGTTGTTGCTGAGCGCTACTTTGAAGTTTTCATTGTAGATTAAATTGAACTTTTCTTAATAAACTACAAAAATAAAATAGATGCAATTTCTTAAAATGCCTAATTTCCTGAAATAGATGAAAGTTCCTAAAAATCAATGCCGGTAACAAATATTCAAGTAATTCTTTAATGTTTAAGGTATTTCCAAAATTTATCTCCAAAATGTTCGTTATAGTAATCTCGATTCAATTTAGGCCGCATCACGTTGAAATACCGATTCCTGTACAATCCCCAAAGTTAAGCAACATAGAGCATGTTCAATACCTTGATTGGTGACCGCTTTGGAAGACCAGGTGCTATCAGCTTGGGTTTATGGATGAAATAATGGATAATTACTCGGAATTTTTAATCGGAGAGCCGAGTTCCTATTTCTATTGGGTTCGTTATATTCACTTACGCGCAAATGCCCTTGGGATAGTTATGAATTCATTGCTTCCCCCAGCTATGGGTTAATTAGTAAGACTTGTATTGATAAACCATTTGTTCACTAGGTGCTATTTTGTCGCACACATGATTGAAATTTATGATATATATATATACATATTCTGAAAAAGTGCATTTCAACGCGTTTTTCTGTAGAATTTGTGTGTGGACAGTGGATTTAATATTTTTTAATTAAATGTGAAAATTGGAGAAAATGAAATATATTTCGTTCATTTCTGGAAAGTAAAATAATAACAATGCTGTATAAACAACAAAAATAATATGTTTCCTTTATGGTGATGGTGTCATAGCAGATTTTTATTCTTCGGAAATGGTTCGCTGGGTTCAAGAATGACAATTTTGATCCAGAAAAAAGGAACGTGCCAGCAGACCTACAGTTGACCAATGACCAAGTTGAAACGCTGATTAAATTTACTCGACACGGTAAATCGCAGAAGTACTACATTTATCTCATGTAAGCATTGTTAAGCATTTGAAAAACACGTGGATACGTCCATAGCTTCGATGTTTGGATGTCTCACGTTTTAAGAGAAAAAAATTAATGGAACAAATTTCCATTTGCGATTCACTAGTGAAAAACGGGCATTTTTTATATATATATATATACAATAATTACAGGCGATGAAAAGTTTTTATTTATAACAATGTGGAGCGAAAAAAAATACGATCTGCATCCGAAAAATATGACGCTGTGTATCTAGTGGGATTGCAAGGGCATTGTATATTATGAACTACTTCAGCCAAATCTGACATTGAATTTAGACAGGGACTGTTTCCTAATTGACGGATTAAAGACAGCAATCGATGAAGAGCTTTTGGAATCAATCAATCAGATGTGTCGTCTTCATGACAAAGTTAGACTTCACGTCTTTTTGCAGAACCAGCAGAAATTGATACAGTTTGATTAGAATATCCGACTTCATCTGCCATAACCACCTAAACTTGCATCTTTAGATTAACACTAATTTTAACCGCTACAAAATGGGAGGAACTTTAGTACTTTGGCTGCTCTATAGAAGACACTTAGACGAGTTCATCGGCGAGAATTATTACCAAGTTCTAGGCATGTGGAATCATGAAGATGCTTCTCAGACTTCTAAACGTAGTAGAAGAAAATGGCTTATGAGTTGTTGAATTTAATCTATGAACAAATGTTTAAATATTGTCTTTGGAATTCAGTTAAACAGGCCACGAACTTTAATTCCGACCGAATATATATCTTCCTTGTACGAATCATTTATTTATATAATTAAAGACTCATGTGAAAACTTTTCAAATATTGGGAAGGTTTTTACAATTTCAGATTACAGAGAACAGTTCCCAACATCGATTCATCGTGTCCCGGTTCTTTTATGGTTAGAATATTTGTGTACTTGCAAATGAAAGCATTAAAAATCATTAACCAATCATTTAAACAAATTACCTTATAATTTACTTAATATATTATCAACTACGCGGAATCAATACGTGATGATGTAATACGCAATAGACTTAACTTTTTCTAATTCCCGATTTTCCGTTATGCCTAATAATTTAAAAAGTATTAATCAACATGAACTGCAAATGTTTATAAATGTAATAATGGCTCAGCCTTAAAATCAATAGCACATTGTGCAACACTTTATAAATTGTTGCGAATGACTGTGTCCCACGTAAAAAAAAAATCTGGAACGCGTAACTGCTTTCACACAGCAGGTAAAGGTGCCCAACATTCTTGAGAAAAAAAAAGGAAAAAATAGAATGATTAAAAAAGAAAATTGTATTCTTAATTAATTTCGATGATAATGTCGGTTAAATTCGATTTTTTTAAATTTGGTAATTAAATATTCATTGGTTGCTTAATTCATGATAGATTGCAATGGTCGATGAATGGAAGGCAAAAAAGAAGAAGAAAAAAATGGTTTAATTTAAGAAAAGAAAGATCAGAAGATGAGTAACATGGCGGAAGGTTGGATGATTGGGAGAGGGTAAGAGAATTTCTAACAACAAAAGCAAAAAGTACACTAAAGAAAATTAATTATGCGAACAAAGATAAGAGAAAATCCTGAATAATAACTGATCAAGCGTGGGAAGAGTCGGAAGAGGTATAATAAGCAAAGAAAAAGAAAAATGAGATAAGCGAAGAAAGAGTTAAGAAAGAAAGAAAGAAAGAAAGAAAGAACGAAAGAAAGAACGAAGAAAGAGATAAGAAAAAAAGAAAGAAATAAAGAACGAAATAAAGAAAGAAAGAAAGAAAGAAAGAACGAAAGAGATAAGAAAGAAAGAAAGAAAGAAAGAAAGAAAGAAAAGAAAGAAAGAAAGAAAGAAAAGAAAGAAAAGAAAGAAAGAAAGCGAAAGACCGAACGAAAGAACGAAAGAACGAAAGAAAGCGATAAGAAAGAAAGAACGAAAGGACGAAAGGACGAAAGAAAGAAAAGAAAGAAAGAAAGAAAAAAGAAAGAAAAAAAAGAAAGAACGAAAGAAAAAAGAAAGAAAGAAAAAGATCAAACGAAAGAACGAAAGAAAGCGATAAGAAAGAAAGAACGAAATGACGAAAGAAAGAGAAAAGAAAGAAAGAAAGAAAGAAAGAAAGAAAGAAAGAAAGAAAGAAAGAAAGAAAGAAAGAAAGAAAGAAAGACCAAACGAAAGAACGAAAGAAAGCGATAAGAAAGAAAGAACGAAAGGACGAAAGAAAGAGAAAAGAAAGAAAGAACGAAAGGACGAAAGAAAGAGATAAGAAAGAAAGAAACAACGAAAGAAAGATAAAAGAAAGAAACAACGAAAGAAAGAAAGAAAGAAAGAAAGACCAAACGAAAGAACGAAAGAAAGAGATGATAAGAAAGAAAGAAAGAACGAACGGAAGAGATAAGAAAGAAAGAACGAACGAAATTATTATTATTATTACTACTACTACTACTACTACTACCGCCACTACTACTACTACTACTACTACTACTACTATTATTATTATTATTATTATTATTATATTTCCTTTGGTTTATGATCTATAGACATTTCTTTCCAGGTCCCGACCAGAGTCCTAAGGTCAGAAATATCATCATGACATTTTCACTGAGCAGAAAAAAAAACACACATAAAACCCTTCGTAAGATGTGGATTGTACTTGTGAGTACATTGTCTTTGTATTTCTTTAAGGCATGGGCTAAGAGGGATTCCTCCAGTGAGTCTATTGGAATCTTTTTCCCAATCAATCTGAGGGCTCCAACTACAACTGGAATTGTTAATGTCCTCATGCGCCACATTTTTGAGATTTCGATTTCAAGGTCCTTGTATTTTGTATTTTGAAGATCTTCAATGATAAATTGCAGTCTGCAGGGACTGCCATATCAATAAAGAGGCACATTTTGGCTTCGCGGTCTCTAATCCCGGTGTCAGGGCGATTAGCTTTGATTGTTCTGTCTCTGTGTCTATTGTGAAGTCCCATAAAATTATTACAGATTTTATCTCCATGACCGAGACCAGGAGGTGTTCATACAAATTCCTTGCAGTTCTCTTTCTGTAAATGTTGTAGATTTTCCAGTGAAGATATTGGTCCATTCTGTCGTGCCGTGTTTTATATTCAGTGGGTGCCAATACCGCGCAACCTGTTTGTTTCTGGATATTTATCACAGAATTTGCATTTTGGACTAATAAAATTTTTCAGTATGTTTGCTCTTTAATTTCTACTTAGCAAGCATTGGTCCTGTGCAGCAAGAATAAAACCTTCAGTTCCAGCTTTTAACCCTGTACTACGTAGCTACTGATGGGTTCAGCTTGTTTGATACGGGCAGAGTATTGATCGTGAAGCGGTTTATCTTGCCACCGTTTCTGTATCTGGTCAGTTGCATTTGCCTTTGCTTTTTTTTTTAAGTATATTGAAGCTTCAGTCGGTGTATTATGCTTTGTCTTTCTTCACCCACTTGAAACTTCATTTTGAAGTCTTTGGCTTCTTTTTTTTATTGAATAAAGTCGCTTACTACTTTTATGTTCTTTGACACAGATCATCATCCTGTATTATGTAGTTTCCAGGTATCTTTGAAGGCAGATTTTTATAGTTTTGTAATACAGTTCTAGTTGAACTAATCCTCTGCCTCATTCAGATCTGGGCACATACAGCCGATCAACATCAGCCTTCGGATCATGCATGCAGGGACAAGTGACAAGATTTCTTGTTTTGGAGTCAATTCGCTTAATGTCAGCTAGGGTCTAGTTAAGAATGTTGAAACCGTGTTGCGTCACAGAGACAGCCAAGGTGTTTATGGCTGATATTTTATTATATTATTATATTAGCTAGGTATTCAGGACCAGACGCACACGCTTGTAGTAATCATTTCTTGCCTTCTTCTTCATTTGGGTATTCCATCTCCTTCGCCAATTCCCACGTACCTAGAGGCTTCGCTAATTCCTAGGTACCTAGAGTCTTCGCTAATTCTTAGGTACTTATAAGCTTATTATTATTTTATTATTATTATTATTATTATTATTATTATTTACATTTCCATGTTACAATTAGATATATTATAGTTGCCGGTTGACAATTCTCTTCAAAATCTTTAAAATCTTCAGGATCTTGTTAAAAAACTTCTGCTAATGTCCCAATTCCTTCATGAATCCACAGAATATTCATTATTAACTCTTGTGTTGCTGACATTATTCCGTGTGTTCCATATACTATAGGTATGACTGTAACATTACCATTTCACTATTTGTTCAGCTGCTAAACAATGCTATGATCTTTTGGACCTTTCTTTATTCTTGGCAAAGCGATGTCTTCTGTTTGTTGTACCTCTTTTCCCTTACCCCTCTCAGTTGCAGTCATATTTTAGTAAGTGGTTGGCCCTAGAACATGGCCAGAACACATTTTTAAATATAGAAGTGATTCTCACATTGTGTGAGAGAGAGAAGAGAATATCAATTTGTAAAAGCAGAACGGTTCATGATTATGTGTACGTTTCCTTGAAGAGAGAGAGAAGAGGACGCCCGGCCAAAAGCTTAAGAAAGAAACACACAAAAAAAAACATACTTTTTACGTAGTTCATATTTTTGGAAGAATGGAAAAACAATAATCAAAATTATTTATAGCGATTTATTTCAGGTTATATTTTTTATTCATAGCAAAGTGTCGCTGTTGTTGGCAGTTAAGTAGACAGTTTGAATCTATACCTACATATATGCGCACATGTACAGTTTGCATCAGTTATTCGAGAACAGATCTTTAGAAAGCCATAAGTAACCAACGTTTTACAATATATACATCATTCGAACTGTTTTCATCATCTTTATTGCTATATTCACGGCGTATCGGTCGTTGTACGCTCCAGCCTTCTTCAGGTGTTATACGTTGGAATCTAGAAGGTCGCGCGTACAACGGCGAAAACATTGTGAATATGACAATAAAGATAAGCACAACAGCCCGAACGATTTAAATAGTGTAAATAGTTACAATACCTCATCTCAAAAATATGGACATTGATTGAAATCCTGTCTCTTTTTTCAATCCCACAGTCAAAACTTCGAATTTACCGCAAAAGATGGAAAGGCATGACATTCATTCTCGTTCGAAAATCCGGCTTTCCAGATTTGGAGATTCCAGTTTTCTTAGATGTCGCTAGGTCTTTTAAATTGAGGATCAGGAAAAGCTCAAGGTCATGGCCAAGAATTTATAGTCAATTAACACATACACACACACACACACACACACACACACACACACATATGCTTTAACACAGGCATGCACATGCACACATATGCTTTAACGCACACACACTTGCTTTAACACACACATACACACAGACATATACTTTAGCACACATATGCTTTAACGCATACACACGTTTTAAAACACACACACACATACACACGCTTTAACGCAGACACACACACACACACACACACACACACACACTGGTCAAATGGCACACATAGCAGCAGTAGAGTTTAAAACTCGGCCTAGCCCAGCCGAATCCTACATGTAAGGGATTTCTGGATTGTTCACAAAATCACGGCCCGGTATCTCTGTGTAAGTTATGAAGCTTTTTCTCTCTTGTCACATTCAGGATGGGGACAGACAAAATGGACTCAGTTGACATTCTTCTGACACCACATGCCGAAACTCTTCGAAAGCCGAACTTTCAACATTCTTTTTAAAAAAGTCTATGTGATGTATATTGTTTCTCAATAGAGTAAAATGTTATGGTTTTTCTCAGACTTATCCATAATGTCCACTAACATAAATCATTATTAATGTGTCTTCAGTGGTAAAAGAAAAAAAAGCATAATCAACTGTAAGGCATTACAAGAAATGTTGAGTTTGTCCAACATGTTCAGAGAATGCAGACCATTGTCAATCAATTGAATAAATCGAAAGAAACAATCAGATACAAACCCTATATTATAAAGAGAGTGCAGTTTATGTAGGATAATATCTGGGATAATGCTTTACTAAAAACAATCAAGAATCCTGAGGAGTTCAACGTAATCTGGTTTTGTTCAGATGAGAAGGTCGTTGTTCAAGATCAAAAGGTGAACGCGGGTGAAGATCAGGTGGCTACGTCCCAGGCCCAATGGTGTACCGACTGTCATCCACAGCAACTTCTTATCATTGTGTGTGCATATACACTACAGTTCAAAAATTTGCGCTTACACCTGGTAGTTTTTTAATTGGACCCAAAATTAGTTGTTTTAAATAAGAGAAAATTATTATACATGATGAGGAAAAGTGTGACATCCTTTTTATTAGAAATTTTATTATGACAAAAAGAACAAAATAGCATTTTATGATTAAATTTTTCTCCCGTTAAAATATCCTCGTTTAACCTTGATCACTACAGCACAAATTGTTAGCATTCGTTAAAAAGTTTCTCAGAGTATAAGTTTGAAAATTGATTCCATTTTTTTTTTCACTCTTTTGTCAGTTTCATGCCATGTTAATTTGGGGGTGGCTTCACACTCTTGAACTTTAGTATATTTATATCCATGAAGAAAATGCGTAGATAGTTTTGTGTATTTGCTCTACCCACCGCCAATTTTTATACTTTCTATATAATTTCAAAATTACTATTTATCATATTTGGAGCATGTAGATAGAGCAATGCCCATTAAATATTATGCTTCTCCCAATAGCTGGTATTAGAGATATGAGATCGAACGGCGAAGGCTTGGGTTGCATTGTCATAAAAATGAGAGGATTTACAATAAACCTCTTTGCAATACATTCGTTTGATACGCCAACAGATACCCGTTAATTTCCCCTTTGTTAAAATATCGCGCTCAGCGGGGTTTTCTGGTGGCTTGAAAATAATCAATCGAAATAATTTGTCCAACTTACCCAACCCAAATTAGATGCCGCCCTTCTGTCGTTATGAGACCATCACTCAATAGAGAAATTACGGTAAAAACAGCATCAATCCCAATGGATATTCGGACAAGCCGCTAATGTCCATTTGGGTCTAAACAAAGATATTGATATTTTCTGTAATAGTGCAAATGTAATTGTTAGATTGGATTGACTCATGGTGCAGGCTAAACACTAAGCTGAAGATCAATTATGGTGTCAATTCAACACATTTGTTTCCTGTCTACTGGCAAACGAGACATTCGGAAAAATGGGTACATATCAATATGTAAATATTTCATATCAGAGATATTTTAAATAAACGGATGAGTTAACAGACGGTGCCTTTTGAACAGAAAGGACTTTCTTAATCTCTCAGATTTTTTTAGTTTCTCAATTTCAAAAAGGCCCTACATATGAAAGTTTGTTTATCATAAAGCTATCGACAGCAAGCTTGCTAAGCAAGAAAAAATACAAACAGTGTTGCGAGATCGATTCTTACTACATTCAAAATAACTGCAATTTTGTGTTAGACAACTGTAACTATTTGTGTATATTACGCACATTTTCC